CTGCTGTTGTGGTTTTGACATGGAAATTATGTCTGGGACTAAGTAGTTAACATAAGGGTTGGAATACAGTAAATAATAATTATCGAATTTCGTGTGAATAGTCAGTAATTTATTGAACACTCCGACGGTACCATATAAATCACCAAAACATACTTAATTAACATAATTCCGTGAGAGAGAAAAAATGTTACAAAAGATATGCATATTTTTGGTTTTGATGTACAATTTAAAACGAAATAATTTCAGTGACTTCCCACCAGGTGTAAAACACGAAATGTAATTACTCTGACAGCCACGTAATAAGTAGTGGCGATAACTAAGGTCCAAGTTTAAATAGCACATCAAATGTAAGATATAACATGATGATTTTGAAAAAACGTGGTTTTTCTATGTTTTGTTTTGATCTGACACCGCATACCGACAGTTTATGAAAATCCGTATAACTTGAAGCGCCTGGTCTAAAAGTCAATAGGATTGACTGTAAACTAGGTGTTTCACGGAGTACAATGTAACGGTTCGAACACAAAACAGCAGTAATAATGCTATACAATGAGTAAACACATTTGATTGATTGATTTCGTGGTTTTACGTCCGCTTCACAACCAAGTAGTTCGGTCATCCAGCAGACGATATGTGAACACATTTGCGTACTACCTCATTTTATATCAACATTGTGACGTCAGAATTGATTGATTGATCGATTGATTAATTATCACTTAGAAGACAGTAAATATGAAAACAATGCGGGGCGGAACAACTGGTGATAATCAGCGTGATCAGCGCTCAGCTCTCCGATGATGTAAACTCTACCACGATCTCTGTTCAATCTTAACGTCAACTATATAACGATTTAATCACAGAATTAGACTAAAAATTAGAAACGGACAGAAAAATACATATTATACAGATATAATATTACAATTCAATATCTATGCGAACCCATGATATTAATTTTCAGAAATGGGAAATAATCAAAATATCGCCCCATTCTATTTAATGTAGAATTGTATAAGGGACTGTGAACAGTGTTCATTGTATTTTACTCAACCAAGAATAGTTGGTGTCTGGTGATGTTTGGTGCTAGGTTTACTCTATCAGACGCAACTAGTAAGATCAACAAGCATACGTCTGATGCAATTTGACGCCATGCTTAGTTCCTGGAGCGGCTTATTGCGACATCATTACAGCGAGTTGTCATTCGTTTCCCGTTTTACTGGTGACTTGGGTATATCTGGTTGTCTTCAAGTGTTAATGTCGCAGGTGCCTGTATATTTCGTTCTACTACAGGTATAGACGTAGCAGGAACTAGGTCTATCTAAAACAGGTAGGGAACGAGTACACACGTGTTGTCGGACCGGAAGTAATACATGATATGGTTCTCTATCCATCATATTTCTTAACCATTAATCCGTCACAAGTTTGTCTGTCCATCCATAACTCTGATGTGCTGAGCCAAGACAGCCGGAAGTGGTAAGGGTAAAACTGTCCACACCTTTCTACCCGAGTGATTGAGGAACATGGCGGTTAACCGGGTGACAAGCCATTTCTGTCAAACTGTTTGTCTGCTGTCACTCAAATACTCACGACCAATAACACCAGTCAGCTAAGTCTTACATTACTGGGTCAGTCAGCTAGGTCTAACATCACAAGACTCGTCAACTAGGTCTAACATCACTAGACCAGTCAGCTAGGTCTTACATCACTAGACCCGTCAGCTAGGTCTAACATTACTAGACCCATCAGCTAGGTCTAACATTACTAGACCCGTCAGCCAGTTCTAACATTAACAGACCCGTTAGTTAGGCCTAACATCACTAGACCAGTCAGCTAGGTCTTACATCACTAGACCCGTCAGCTAGGTCTAACGTCACTAGACCAGTCAGCTAGGTCTAACATTAACAGACCCGTTAGCTAGGTCTAACATCACAAGACCAGTCAGCTAGGTCTAACATCATTAGACCAGTAAGCTAGGTATAACATCACTAGACCAGTCAGCTAGGTCTAACATTAACAGACCCGTTAGCTAGGTCTAACATCACAAGACCAGTCAGCTAGGTCTAACATCACTAGACCAGTCAGCTAGGTATAATATTACTAGACCAGTCAGCTAGGTCTAACATCACTAGACCAGACAGACAGGTCTAACATTACTAGACCCGTCAGCTAGGTATAGCATCACTAGACCAGTCAGCTAGGTCTAACATTACTAGACCCGTCAGCTAGGTCTAACATTACTAGACCCGTCAGCTAGGTCTAACATTACTAGACCCGTCAGCTAGGTCTAACATTACTAGACCCGTCAGCTAGGTCCCCACAGGTAATTGGTAGCACGTAGAATTCTTGTGTTAAAACTGCTGATTTGTTTGCATCATGACTTTGTTTATCATATCGTATTACTACTTCACTTCTGTTGTAGAATTATTGGCGTGACGTTGACGTGAGTTGACAGCGAGCAGATCGGTCTAGGCTGTCAATACACCAGCCTCTCCTTCACACATTAACACAACCACGCTTGTAAATTGTAAATCATAACATTTTTTTATCAGAAACGTGATAGGATTGGCATAAACTTGCCAATTATCTAATGTAAAATGGAGACTAGACCACTTCCATTGTAGACCTGTCGTGGAGGAAACAAACATTGCGAGAAGAAATTTGCCACTTTAGTGAAAGAATCAATACAGAGTTGCTAACATGTGACAAAACGCGGGTGATTTTTACAGCAAACATCACACCGTGAGCGCCTGTCTGTGACACCCAGGCATAATTTGTCATGTTCAGTCGTCAAACAGCCTTTGTGATTCCCTAATGGCCACAGGTAACCAGCACCTCGGGTGATTTATTTGTAGTATTACCAGGGGAATTACACCTTTGACGGGGTGTGCAAGAGCAAACAGTTTCGGGTATTAAAGTTATCCGACAACCGTCATCGCCGCCCGCAGGTACACAACGTAGCTGTCAGTCACGGCTTACCTGAAACTTCGTTTGATTGACACATTCCATTATTCTGTTTGATCTCGCCGTGTCGCTGCTGGAGTGTCAATCTCGTTAGACTAGGGGCAGCCCATTAGATAGAGTGGGCGGGTTCGTACTGCACACAGGTATTAGCTTTGTTGTATAGGGGGCGTGGACTTACCTGAGCGCATCCAAACCTAATAATCGCCTGTACAATGAGAGGGACTGAGCTTGTCGCCAACTTGGGGTGTTCTCTTATTCTCGTAGCTTTAATTCTTGACAGGGTTTACAAAGGCATGAAAGAAGCTCGTATTTTTAACCCGAAGTTTAATATTTATCTGAATAGTCCCACTCGAACCCTGTCACCTGTGGGATCCACACAAAACAACTCTTAAATATCAATTAACTCATTTCTCAATGCTATCAAATTTACACACTCTGGCGTGTTGTATTGAGACCAATTTTGAGCACATAATATTTTTACCTCGTCAAGCGAACAGACGTCAAATTAGATCAAAGCTGATATCACTTAAATATTCGTGAACAAGACGGTGTAACAGAAGCACAGATAGACCTGGTATATTCCAGTACATTTCAGGATTAAAATGTTTTCATTTTTTAAGTTGAAATTTTGTATTTAGTGGGTATTTAGTGCTAGGCATGGTATAGTCGGTACTTTGTTCCCGGTCCCCGGGCATAGATAGCTTACCTGTATACTTATACCTAACTACATGAGCCGCGCCTACAAGTCATCACACGACTTCTTACAGCAATCCAATCGAATTGATATTCGTAACATGTCTGTATAATACTCGGAGACAGAGACATTTATCATAACCAGCCTATTCCTAACCCTCTCAGTTCATTGTTGTAGCTTGATCGATTGTTCACTAAACATAAAACACTACCCGTGGTACTCTTAATGACGCTTTTTTAAGACACAAATATCGAGCGCCCTGCCATCCATATTATACTGCACTAGTAACTCACACCTGTATCCTTGCTGCATGTTTACGACAGGTGAGATCAATCTCTGGCCTGCACTTGTGTAACTTATATCCCTCGGGTTTTGTTCTTACATCTTGTAAACACCGGTTTACAAAGTCTAGTTAAAGTTCATGTTTGCTTACTTGACAAGAAAATATTTCTTCAGGTATTTTTACCTTTTGATTCAAGGTAAGGCATTTATCTGTGTATGAACTCTATCTGGTTTAACAACTTATGATAATAACATGGTTTGTCATGCTCCAACACTGGCGCCCTTGAGCGCTTCATACCATAGGTATAACGATAATTTTTCTCGTTCCTCTATACATTGTTTTGTACGATGTGTTTATTGTACTTGATAGCTATCTCTTCCATTTGCCTTTGAAGTCAGTCATAAAATGTCCAAACTGTCATTTCGAAAGATACCACGTCTTTCAACACGCCAGTTTCAATCTGTTTTGAAACACCCCTACTTGTAAAAGATTGATTGATAAGCGACGTAATAATAGCCCTCTGCTTTGATCTCCGCCGCAGGGCCATTCAAAATCATTAATGTCACCGGGAATTCTTTGCTTCCTAGGTTTTGAAAGAATTTAACAAAACCATTCGGAAAGGATCTTTTTAAAATTAGGACTTAGTGGCAAGGAAATACGGGCGGTAAATCATGTTTAACGAATGCAAAGAAGCTCTGAGTAAAAGCAAATAGATATTATTGTGTTATAAGTAGCAGTACTTGAGCGGGTTTTATTTATCCGTCGCCCTCTCGTTTGCCCGGGACGTTGTATGTATTAACAGCCAGGAATGATATAAATCAGTCAACACTGACAGTTAACCCATCAAAATGATTGATGGCTAGCCATAATGGTTCCCCTCGGCTTCTCCTGGAGGAATTAATAAACTTGACGTTGATTGGTTAAGTGCAGTGCGTGCAATCCATCATCTCGTGCTTTTTATCGTCGCTGACGTCATGTGGCGTCTCTCGACCAATCGCAGCAGGTTATCAGTAGTAATTTATTATTTCATTGGAAGGCGGCAAGGCTCTTTCATCTCTGATTAATTTACAAGCAAGTGTTGTCGGACGTTTTGTATTATGTCTTGTGGGGCGGTATGTTTCATTAAGTCAGTGTGATACGGTTTCTCAGGTTCATAAAGTGATTGGCAGCTGAGCCCGTAGCGTCGTGAGAGATCTCCCACATACTACAGGATACACTGAGCTCGCCGCCACAGTACACACTGACGATCAAACTATACACGTGAAACCTTCTGGAAACACCATATTTACACGAATGGATTACATGTTTTGAAACTTCTTTTGGATTTTATTTTGAAATATTTAGTGAAAATGTTAACGTCAAGCTCTCAATATGAGTATCTTCACCCTGACTACCTTCAGCCATTACCTACAACGGTATGTATTTAGTCGTTATAATTAGGAGAAAACCACCTAAAATTTATAACGTTAACATGTCTTAATAATTGGTTACGAATATTTTTTGTGGGACCGTTTAAAAGGAACAAATAACGTGTAACCGGTAGTTTGAAGAAAATATATTGGTCATTAAATCATTCGGAATACTGAATAATACGGGTACACATGTTGGTCATTTCTCCAGAGAAGATCCTCTTTATATATATTTAGTATAGTTATCTACTGTAAATTGCTTCCTGTTCATCCGGAGACCGCCCCTTTAATGACTTGCCGTATCGATACCTACACATACACCACTATATGAATAAGATAGAGAAGGAATGTTCCCATAGTGGTCACTCGGCTAGTCATATCAGTCTCAATCATACGAAATATGTTTATGTTTTAATTATAACTAATTGCTCTCATTTATTTATTTCCATAGTTGGACGCCAAGAAGAGTCCGCTGGCATTACTTGCACAAACATGTAGTTCGATAGGAAAGGATCCTACACCATCAAAACCTATCATACCGTCACTGGGGAAAAAAGACAATGAGAAATCCCGCGACAAATCGGAGTCTCCGGACACCAAGCGTCCCGAATCTTCCAGTAGTAAGGGCAATGGGCGTGACTCTGTAGACAAACCCGGATTCAGGACTATTCCGTCCAAGGACATCCCCCCACTTGTCCCTATTCCCACGTCCAGTGACAAAGCCAGGTCTCCATCAATTTCTCGTGAATCTAAATCCAACGAAAATGTGGCTTCATCAATTGTGTCTTCTCGTCCGGGATCACACTCATCTTCAGTGACGTCATCATCAACGACGACTGTTGTTTCTTCCACGCGGACAAGCATCAGTTCTCATAAGGAGATAGACAGTCGTGAGAGTATATCTACGTCAGCATCTGCGCTTAAACCCGGTAGTCGGCCGTCCCCGGATCATGTCTCCTACAAACCTTCCAGCCACCCCTCCGCTGCCAGCTATGCAGGGTACCAGCCATATCCTCCTACCTACCCGGGATATCAACTCATGTCTCCTCATGGACTACCAGTTGAATCTGCGGCATCCGCTATGGGATACCCATCCTCCCTGACGGCTCATGGGTACGCGGCGGCCGCCAATGCTGCTGCAGTTGCAGCAGCTCAAAGTGCCGCCTCTTTAAAGCATGCGTCGGCGGCGTCGGCTATGTCTCCGTACGTGACATATGCCCGTGTGAGGACTCCGGCTGGTGCCACCACTCTTGTACCCGTATGTCGGGACCCTTACTGCTCTAACTGCCAACTGACATTACAAACTTCCCATCTATCATCCACCTGTAATGCTCCTGGATGTTCTCAATGTGCTCACGAGAAGTCCCTCCAGAGCCTCAGTAGCCTGGGGGGGCTGGGGGGCCTACCCCCTAGCGTGTCGCTATCCGTACTCCCGGGGTTTTCAGCAGCGAGTGCTCTGTCGTCCAGTGCTGCAGGATTGACTTCTTACCCCTCCATTTCGTCTCTGTATCCTCACAGTGCTATGAGTGCCCATCAGGGACTACCCTTTGTATGTAACTGGGTATCGGCAGGCAACGAGTACTGTGGGAAACGTTACACAACTTCTGAAGAACTATTACAACATTTGAGATCACATACCACGCCCTCAGACTCTTCGTCTTTGGCCGCGGCTTACGGCAGCCTCAGTGGTCTGGGGGGACTGGCCGGCTTACATGGACATTTGACCGCCCCCGGGAGCATCAGTCCTAACTCCCTCCGACGGTCGTACCCAACAAGTCTAAGTCCAGTGAGTGGACTTTTAGGGGCCAGCAGATATCATCCCTACAAGTCCCATATACCAGGTGCTCCCGGGGCCCTGCCTCCCGGACAACCACTCCCTAACCTCGGACCTTACTATTCACCATATGCTCTGTATGGTCAACGATTAGGGGCAGCAGCTGTTCCCTAAATGCTCTAACCTTTACGTAACTTAAATGTGATTATTGTTTTCCTAAGGAAATCCTGGATATATACACGAAGTCCATTTTAAATTTAACAATGCTCATTATGCAGAAAAGTTTCCATATGTGAAGATGACAGACTTGAATGGATTATTATCTCTATATGGAATACAGTGCAGATAATTTACTACACCGTCATAAGACAGTGATACTACTTGTTTGGAAAGGGATCAATCAAAAATATCACGGAATAATTATTCAAATTCATTATTTGCATATTGACTATGATGACTAGTACTGTGTTTTATAATGGCCCCGGTTCTATTTTTACTATTTATTCCCTAACTATTGAGACATATAGATATATAATTTATTTGAAAAAGAAATAAGTTTCTAACTACAAATAAATGGATAATAAACTGTTACACTGTTGATGTGCCAATTAAATTGGATGTGTAACGTGTGAATGATACTAAACACGTGAGTGCTATATATACGTGTGACAGTGCTGACTGTGAGGACACCGGTATACATGTGTAAGACTATTGTGAATGGCCAAGTATCGGATTCTTGTTTGTATGTTTGATACAGAAAATCATATTTTATTAAAAATATTACATGAAACTATTTAAATCTTTTATCATTCTTGTTGTCAACAATGACGACGAATTATTCGTATAAAACGCCGATGACTGGTATCGACATGTTTGGGTATTACGATAAAGTCCGGAGAAGGAGCCTTATTGTGTGACTGTGTATAATCCTATAGAAATATACTGAAAAACATGCTAATCCATACATCAGTAAGGCCTGGTATTGAAACACATGGAATATCTACGTCTGAATTTGGTAGCTAGTCTTGTTGTTTGTGGAATATTTACTTTCTTGGGGAAAATTCTAGGTCAAGATATTTCTAGTTTGTTATTTACTGTTCGAGGACTGTTTCTAGTTTAAGGTATTTCTATTTTGTTATTTACTGTTCAAGAAGTATTTCTAGTTTAAGGTATTTCTAGTTTGTTATTTACTGTTCAATGAATATTTCTAGTTTAAGGTATTTCTAGTTTGTTATTTACTGTTCAAGGATTATATCTAGTTTAAGGTATTTCTATTTTGTTATTTACTGTTCGAGGAATATTTCTAGTTTAAGGTATTTCTAGGTTGTTATTTACTGTTCAAGGAATATTTCTAGTTTAAGGGATTTCTAGTTTGTTATTTACTGTTCAAGGAATATTTCTAGTTTAAGATATTTCTATTTTGTTATTTACTGTTCAATGAATATTTCTAGTTAAAGGAATTTCTAATTTGTTATTTACTGTTCAAGGAATATTTCTAGTTTAAGGTATTTCTAGTTTGTTATTTTCTGTTCGAGGAATATTTCTTGTTTAAGGTATTTCTAGTTTGTTATTTACTGTTCGAGAAATATTTCTAGTTTAAGGTATTTCTATTTTGTTATTTACTGTTCGAGGAATGTTTCTTGAAACACGAACATTGGGTTTCATATTTACTGTTTGAGGATATTTCCAGTGTCATATATATATTTTTAGCTGGTTGTTCGAGTAGTTCGAGAAATAATTCTAGTGTCAGATACATTTTTTTAGGGAAAGTTTTAGTTTCAAATACATTTAGCTTGTAATTTACAGACATAGATAGATCTCCTTCATATTGGTATTCAAAACAAAAATAGTGAGTTGTATTAATTAAACTCTCAAAAGATTACTGATGAATTAAAAACGATGTATGCAAATTGATATATATATATTAAAACATCTATATTCATTACATTGAACTTAACTAGGTATTTTACAGATTGACAAAAAAACAAGACATGTAGCTGCATTATTGTATTGAATTTGACTATCACAAAAATATATTTATCTTTTTGTCGATACGTGAATTGTAAGGATTGTATTAAATGAGAGAGGACAAAAGGCAGCTGAAACATGTCGATATATTCAACCTAAACTTCTTATTGTTATATTAGTTATAAATAAATCAGAAGTTGAAAATCAAAGTTGTAAAAATAAAATTGACTTTAATAAATAAATAAATAAATGTTATAGAAATGAAAAATAATCGCTTCAAACTTGAGTTATCGTGCTCGTTCTTCCCGTAGCATTTTCATAACCTGGTAAAAAATAAAAAATGTGTGGAGTTAATAGCAATACATTTCTTAATTGTTAGAGAATCATAGAATGGCGATTTTTATCGAACAGATATAACTATGAATTCCAGAGAAAAATATGAAATTGGAAATCAGACGGAACAGAGTTGAAACAAAAATTAAATTAAATCTGAAGTATCGCTCTGCAGCAGGACATTATCATCGACAGTCAATATCCTTAGTGTCACTGCTTTGACATGGCTCAAGTTTAAATGCTTTATCGACAGATTGTAGACAAGAAAAGTTCGTAAAGTGTTTTTAACCGACATTGATGGGTGGTATTTTTGAATACATGTGAAGTATTGTATATTGTCGTAAACGAAGTCTCCCGTAACAGTTCGCCTCCGTAGATGTCAGTTAAATGATTTTGTTTACGAGTTTTGTTGCTGCAAAAAATAAAAGTTAAAGCAAATTAAACGAATCTGTATGTTTAAGATTTTAACATGATTTGACGGTTTAACCACAAGCTGAGACTTACCAATATATTAAGAATATAAACCTCCCAACAGAATAAAAATTCGACAACATCTAAACAGTATCCTATCTACATCGACCAGGGTAACCATAAACACGATACAGAGACAACATCTATACAGTATCCTATCTACATAGACCATTGTCATCATAAACACGATACAGAGACAACATCTATACAGTATCCTATCTACATCGACCAGGGTCATCATAAACACGATACAGAGACAACACTCTATCGTGATACTTATATATATATCAACAAAGAAATGTCTACTACACCGTCATTGACTTACCTGATTAAGAGTGTCTCACTACACCGTCATTGACTTACCTGGTTAAGAGTGTCTAACTACACCGTCATTGACTTACCTGATTAAGAGTGTCTCACTACACCGTTTTTATCCGTTAGGTCTAAACAATTAATTAGCATATACATCACTGATATAAATATAGCTACCGGTCATCAGCCAGTGTTATTTGTTACCGGTTGATTGATGTTTAATCTAAACATTATGGATGGAGAGGCCTGGTAATGGTATTGCTACACAACTTGGATACTGGTACACTCGTATCTCAAAAACACACGTCACACAAATACACATATAACACAAAAACAAACACACAAATACACACGTTACACACATGTAAAACAAATACACAAGTAACAGAAACACACGCCACACAAATACACACGTAACACACACGCCAAACAAACACACACATAACACAAATACAAACACAAACACACACGACACACAAATACACACATAACACAAACACAAACACACACATAACACAAATACAAACACAAATACACACGTAACACAGATGTAAAACAAATACACAAGTAACAGAAACACTCACACAAAAACACACGTCACACAAACACACAAATAACACAAACACATACATAACACAAACACACACATAACACAAATACAAACACAAATACACACGTAACACACATGTAAAACAAATACACAAGTAACAGAAATACATACCGTCATACGTGAATTGCAACACATATAACAAAAACACACACATAACACAAATACACACGTAACACAAATACACATATTAATTTTTAAAAAACACAGAAATAACATATCATTCTCTATTTTACTACGGAAATAACAAATTACAGGAGCTTAAATTATAAGGAAATAAACAATATAAATTTCGAGGTGTAAAAAATAGCAGATATCAAATATAACAAAGTGACTGAAAACAAAATAAATACAGGTTAAATATAACACTTATTTACTACGGAAAGTTTCAAATAAAAACCATTTGAAAGGTTTTCGAAATATCGAACCGCTCGTATTAAGAAGTGGTATATTTTATTAACACACACGTTATACTGTACATGACTCCAAGATTAATTAATCGTTAATACATAAAGTCGTCTCCAGTTTGATCACATGGAGTCGGGTTGATCTTTGACCTTCTACGTCTCTGGAATTTCAGTATACAACTGTTATCCTAAGCTAGCTATTTAGCTCTCATATTTAGGTAGGTTGGTGGTTTAGAGAACGGGATTTTTTTATAGTAAAGTTTGATGTAAAGTTTGTTAGACGATTCTGGAACACTTCACACACGACAGAAATGTCCACATACACAATCAATCTGGTGTCGCCCTTGCAAATTAGGTTTATTATAAACGTATATATAGTGCATATATAAATAAGGAAATTAGTTAGCACGACAGAGCGGAGGAGTTGGTCTCACTGGACTAGATAGCAGGTAGGTAGTAGTGGGATTCCCGACACATCAAACACAAACCGTTCTCAAGTACTCGACATACTTGAGCCTAGCTGCCCGAACAGCCGCCTACCTGTGATTGAGACCCTTTATGTACATGGCAGAATTTATGGATATTTTGAGATATTAACCTTTGTATAGCCATTAAAGTAAAAATATAACCAGAGGAGTGTTAAGCTTGGTAATTTATTGCCTAATATCATCTATAGAAAAGGTTTAAAACGATCACAGCAAAATATATAGCATGATCACAACTACTCCACGCCTTTATCAATGGCTCTCAAACTGATGATTTAGTACACCAAATATTTTACAAGTTTAGATTTACGGCCGCTATTAAATCGCGGTCCTATATTATACAATATTTCACGCGGGGAGTAAATCCAGCAATTTACCTGTGCCTGTTTTCTATGGTGAGAGTAAAGCCGGTGTCAAGCCGGTGTCGACAGAGTCATGAAATAAATTATTTTGCAAGTGAAAAATAACACTTTTACTAGAATTTGTCACTATAAAATATGTTCCACACTTATCGTACAAAGAAGATTTAGGGAGGAAATAATGGAGGTATAGTGTTATTTACACGTATCTGACACGCCAGTCGAATTAATAGAACGCGCACCTGCTGCCTGCCCAGAAAATGTCTCTCAGATAAATTGCCTTATAAATATTGTGTTTGTTACTCACCAATGAATATAAATATGAACAATTTCCATATTCATGAACAATGAGGTCACCTTACTGTTTTGTTGAATGTGTGAATACGAAATATCCTTTGAAGGTGACAGAACGAAAACACTTTGTTATATGTATGGATATGAATTATGTTATTAAAATGACACTTGAAAACACCAATATATCTGTCGTTTTGTAGTATTTTTAATATTCATTTTTTTCTATAAACAAGTAAAATAGATATATCAAATTGTCGGTTTTAATTGTAGAAACCTGTCACATTTTTAAATAACTAAAAGAAGGGGTCTTGTACTTGTACGAACATTTCTGACATACCGTGTGTCATGTCTATAATAATCCTATAAATTTTAATAAAATATCGGCATTCGTATGGTAATCTTTACGATTCTAAAGCCTGTAATGTTAGGGAGGATATTTCATGTTATGACACCAATATTCAGCACAAAACCAGCCCTGCTTTACCTGTGATAGCTCCTATAGCGATAATCACAGCGGCGATGTAGGTACCACGACAGAAACTCTTCACTGTGGCACG